GTAGTGATACTGCCTCGGAAACCCAAGGAGGGGTCGCTATGAGTCGGGGCCGACTCGATGGCACATAACAACAACAACAACATGTATATGCCAGACACTGTGGCAAGCACATTTGTTAACAGGTTAATCAAGAACTCTATGCATTGCTGTCTATATTTTCAATAACAAAATATTTGCAGGGGGAGGGAGGAAGGATAACATAGCTCACCTTACCAAAACTATATTGGGCCAAAGGAAAGGCAGATATGAAGTCTAGCGACTTCTAAGAAGCACATTTTTGTTTTTATTTCTCTATGAATCTATAAAGTAGTAACTTTTTGATAGCCAGAGTGGACATTTCCATGATGAGAAATTCACTTAGTAAATTAATATTTTAAAAAAAACAAAACTAGAAAAAGGATTTTCTAATTCTGGCAATCCAATGAAGCATTTAATATGTTAGTTAGTCGAAAGAAAGAAAGAAAATGAATCCTCATGAGATAGTACTATTATTACCCTCCTTTTACAGGTGAGGAAACTGAGGCCCAGAGAAGTCAAGTCACTTTCCCAGGGTCAAACAGTTAATAAGTGGCATGGCTGTGAATTGAACCCAGTTTCATCTGGTTTCTCACTACATAGCTCACTCATTGCCGTCAGGTCGGATCCAACTCATAGTAATCCCTCCTTGGGTTTCCGAGGTGGTATCACTACAGAAGTAGATTGCCCAATCTTCCTTTCAAGGAGTGGCTGGTGGGTTTGAACTGCCAGTCTTCTGGTTAGCAGTCAACTGCCTTAGGCACTACACAGTATTCTATTCTAATGTTCTTCACCTTTTCTTCTAGACCATGGCGAGCCACTAGAACCAGGACCTGGCTGGCAGAGCTGATTCACGCCCTTCTGAAAGAATAAAGACCTCTCAGAAAGTCCTATCTTGTGTCTTTCTTCTTTGGCTCACTTCTTCACCTATGGCCCATTCCTGAAATCCTAGATCTGATGTGTAGAAAAGACAAGATCCAATCCTATCATTTGATGAAAAAACCATGACCAAACGCACTGCCATTGAGTTGGATCTGACTCATAGCGACCCCTCCTTGGGTTTCCAAGGTGGTATCATTATGGAAGTAGATTGCCCAACCTTCTTTCCAAGAAGTGGTTGGTGGGTTTGAACCACCAGCCTTCTGGTTAGCAGTCAAATGCCTTAGGCACTACACTACCAGAGTCCTTATCATTTGAAGATGAGAAAAAAAAAATGAATCTAGAGAGAGGAAGAGTTGCTGTGGGGTAACCAATCATCCTGGATTGCCTAGGACTGGGGGAGGGTCCCAGGATCAGAGGAGTATCTTAGGGTATGATGGGTATGGCACCTGCCCTCGGCACCACTGGAGGGGGCACCAATGAACAGTTTCCACTCCCCATTGAAGTTTCCATCATCAGCTGTGAGGGATCATTCAGTTATTTAAAAAACTAATTGCCATCAGTACTATTTTCCATAAATACACCAATGCCCAGGATGTTGAATTTTCCTGGCAGAAACTGGGAAAGACCCTAGCAAACCAGGACAAGTTAGTCACCTTAATTTAGAGTCACACATCAGTCAGTGGCTTTTCAATGCAGGCATAAAAACATGGTAGAAGCTGCAGAAAAAACAACCTAGCCACTCTTTCCGGAGGCTCATCAAGGAGTAGGAAGGACCATGAATATTGTGCTTCTGGTGATGGGCTGGAGAAGGAGGGCTGTGAACATTTAGTCATTCAATAAACATTCCTTGTTTGACAGGGGGAAGAAGACATGGTTCCTGCCCTGAAGTGGCTCATTATTTAGAGAGGAAATGAGCCTATCAGAGTCATTCATTAAATATTTATTAGGCACTTGCTTTGTGACAGGTTCAGGGCAGGGAGTACAGAGTGTGAGTGACATGAATTGAATTGTGTCCCCAAAAATATGTGTTGTAAATCCTAACTCTTATATCTGTGGTTATAATCTCATTTGGGAATGGGTTTTCTGTTATGTTAATGAAACAGTATCAGTGTAGGGTGTGTCTTGAGTCAATCTCTTTCGAGATATATAAGAGATGGAGGAAAAGAGATGCCAAACCACATGAAGATCCCTTAGGAGCTAAAGCTCAAAAGAGATAAAGACCTTCCTTCAGAGCCAACAGAGAGAAAACTCTCCCCTAGAACTGGAGCCCTGAATTCCAACTTCTAGCCTCCTAGACTATGAGAAAATAAATTTCTGTTTGTTAAAGCCACCCATTTGTGGTATTTCTGTCATAGCAGCACCAGAGAACACAGTGACTAAGACACTGGCCTCGCCCTCAGTGACAGACCGTCCTTCAGGGGAGAGCAAACTCTCGCGGATGTGCACACGATGCTGCACAACAGGTCCGAGCCCAGGGAACTGTTGTTGAGTGAAAAAGACCACCGTTGGGCAGCCTAATGCAACACAAAAACACCTGAAACAACTTAGGTGTCTCTTGGACACCATGAAGGAAACATGGTCCTATCAAGGACACACACATAATACAGGTATGTGTTGCTTATGTTTGGACGACGTCTGAGTGTCCTGCCACATATGTCTGTGGTGCCATAATGTAGTTTTTTGTGTTAAAGGGAAAGCAGTTCTCCTTTTGTTCAGTGTTTTCCTCTACTTGTTTTAAAGACCCCCAAATGCAGAATTTTGCAACACTGGACCATGGGTAGGATATAGGCAGATAAGGCAGAGATCATGGCTCTGGGGGCAAGGCTTTGGGCTTTGTCTGATGGGCAGGCAGCTGCGCACCGGGAGGCGAGGGGAAGTGAGGGGAGGGTGTCCAGTGCTCAGGGGGCGGAACAGTGGGTGGAGCAGGACGCTCCAGTCCCTTCTCACTGCTTCCTCTCTCTCTGCTTCCCCTGATGGTACCAACAGTTCCTCTAGCCTCCACCAGCAGATCCACCAGCGGTGGCAACAAGGACAACTAGAATCAGGCGCCCACAAGGTTTTGATATAATTTTCACACCCCGTCCAAATCACATAATGTCCTATTTCACAGAATGTGTCGTGAACATTAAGCAATACATGCCTGTATATATATATTTATCTTATTTTTTATTGTTTTATATATATATAACACATTTGCCAATTTAGCTTTTCACATGTATAATTTGTTGTTGTTGTTGTTGTT